GGGGGAGGAGCCAAACCCATTGCACTGACTCCAACCCCAGAGTGCTGTATGACTGGACCTCCTGGAACTACAGAAATAACTCTTGCAGGACCTTCCCTAACAGCACCTGGAACCATCCGCATCTGTACACGCTGCTGTTGAACTGAAACAAACAGAAATCAAGTGATCAATCTGTTTTAGCCCTTGAGTCATACATGGTTCAATACATAACAAATGTAAGATGTTTGAGATCTTAGACCAGCTAAGGAACAGTACATCTGGCCCATCTGGTAAAATGAATGGTTGAAATATGTGAGGCTTTATACAGTAAACACACCTGGGTACCACCAAGGGCAATACTGTGCATGATAAGAGATTAAATGCTCTGCAAGCGATAACATAACACAGTCAAACAAGCAAATTTTGACTTAAAGAAACTGTGATGCATTATTCTAGCCCAAAGGAAATGGATAGCTTTATTGGTCTAGCTACTTCTGCAAGGCCCATCTTTTACAATCAGCCACACACATTTTCTGAAAATTACAAGCTGTAACAAAGTACAACCCTTAAAGGAGAATGTGCAGCTTGCCACCCCAGGGAGCTATCTTGTCATCTCAACTAATATTTAATTTGCCACACTTATGAAAAAGACAGAGACATAGTGCATGTCTGAATGACAGGTTGTCATCATTTATCAAGTATGAATGTGTAACTGTTTCCAAGTTCTTAAGTGCAAGAATAAGGTATCTCACAAGCAGCATCAGAAAGTTACAAACTCTGAATTGAAACTTCAGCAACAACCAACAAATGACATGTGAAAAATTTACAATTTTTGGAAGATAGAGGACTTCACAAGACTTTTTAATCAGGCATCTTCAAACCACCACTCTTCCTGGAGGTCTGCTGTAAGCCTTAAATCAGTGAAGTCCATGGCAAACAGCCAGACAGTTTAGTCACATCGTCAACCAAAAGTTCAGTTTTCAGAATACCAAAGATCAGCATCCATTATTTCTACATTACAAACTTTCATATCAGTCTGTAATTCTACCAGCCCAGACAATCAATATACGTTAAAAATTTGAAGGTTCATGGTGACTAAGTACCAAAGCATCAACAACAGCAGACCTACTGTGTGAAGTCCATTCATCCAATCAATCACATTACTCCATGATCACTGGTGTCTCTAAGTTCCCTTAATTTTATTGAGCGCCGGCAATCCACACTATTTTCGTAAGATTTGAGGTTTTCACAGTGGTGAGTATGAAGATTTCTGTCTTCTGGGTAGTCAGTGTAGACAACAGGCAGGAATGTCATACAACATCTGTACATAACCACGCAACTATTATGAAAGAAAGAGAACCTTCTTACCATTTTATAACTTCTATTCAAATGTTCTTCAAACTGTGAACAATATGTTGTGTATGTGTGTATAAAATATTGGCAGCCCTGTGGTGGTTTCAGTGCATATCAGTTACCTTGCAAGTGTCCTGCTGGAGGTAATCGCTGGAGATGCGTCACTCCTGTTGGGACAATAGCTGGACTTGAAGCAGTTGGTGGAAATGTGTTCTGGAAGCTCACAGCAGTTCCACCATCTGGAGAAACCATTCTTCCAGCTCCAACAGGCCTACTAATTGGCGGCTGCAAAATAAAAACACAAAGTAATCAGGCACTAAATTGAATGTATTGTTTTGTGCAATCCTAAATGACAATGGACTGTACTAGTATTTGTTGATGACAAACTGATTAATCATCAGGTTATTTTATGATACTCACTGAAATACAGAAATAATAAATAATAAAGTTAAATGAGATGGAGAGATGCTCATAAATGGTATTTACACACAAACTGAATGCTATCACGTAAATGTACGTTTTACGGCATAAAATTTGTCCTAATTATCAGTAAACATTCACATTGAAGTACTTTGGTCTCCTCACAAGTCATCCTTCACTTCTGAACTGTGCATACAAGTCGAACAGCTTCACTCATACCTCAAACACTGCAGATGCCACTACTTTTCAGAAATTGCCTCTTCTAATTTTTGTGTAAATCACAGTTGCAACAGTGTATCACCTGCGGTAATGCAAGCAAAGTGTGTGCAGTTAAAATGTGATCCTTTTATAACATCTATTATAAGTAAAAACAGTTAAATGTGTACATAAAAATTGGAACAGAGCAACAGAAAGACAGTTCAATGTCAACTGAAACGTAACTAGAGGCTACAGGCACTGTAAACCTGTCGCATGTAAACAGAAGTATTGCTTTCAAATTCTGAGGCACACCTAACAGATTAAAAATTCCAAATGCAAAAATAATCTTACATAAAATGCAAGACAGTGTATATCATGTTTTGTACAATAAATTACATTAACCCATCGACGTGGTTTTACGTGTATACACGCGGGCATTTAAATTTCAGTTCTTGTGGTTTTACGTACAAACATGCGAGCCTCAAAGCCTAATTTAAAACGCCCATAAGTATGGAATAAATAACGCCAGCGCGATGAGGTTTGTTCTCGCCTGTTGTGGAAATAAAGCTCTGTGTGTATATATGTGGCAACAGTGTTACATTCCAATGACCTGCACCGGAGAGTCTAAAAATAAACGCCTGACCTGGTAGTTTATAATGGCTGTCCCTTCGACAAGTCGTCCTTTGACGGAGCTTGAAGAAATACAAGTTTTAAATGAAGTTTTAGAAGATGATAGTATAAGTGAATATAGTTCGGACGATGATAGTGTATTTGACATTGATTATACACAGTTTGTGACACCGGGAACTGTCGTGTTTAGCGATAGTGATTGTGATAATGGTAGTGGTGGTCGACAGGACGACATCGTACATGCAGGTGTGGTTTCCAACAAG